GGGGAGTTCGGCTTCATCGACGGACCCCTCTGCCCTGATGATGTGGTTTATCCGCGGACGAATGTGGCGATCGAAATTTCGTTGAGTTGTGGTAATCTAGGTTGTCGGCGAGGGTTGCATCCGTGGTAGATGAGTCCGTAACGACGTCTTTAGCGTGTGTTCCTTTCTCGGTCGTTGTGTGCTGTTGGTTGCCGCGAAAGCAACAGTTCATTTCTGCGTGTGTGGGGCGAGGACGATATCGTCGCGCCCCAGCGTTGTTCACACCTACTTGTCAGTCTTTTCGCTCACACGCACACACCCTCTTTCCCTTTGTGTGTGTTCTCTCTCTCCATGTCTCTCCCTCTCTCTGTCTCTCCCTCTCGCTCTCTGCCACCTCATAGGTTCTGGCCTACCTGGACACCGACATGGAGCTGTGCGTGCTAGACACGCGCGCGGGCACCGAGCTCGAGCACGCCAGCCTCTCCACCCTCTCGGTCTCCATCTCGCCTATCCTTCCACCCCCCCCCTCTTCCTGCTCCCAGCCGCCGCCGCCGCCGCCGCCGCCGCCGCCATCCACCAGCGGCGGCACCCAAGCAGCAGGTACTCGCAGCGGCCCCGCCGAATCAACCTTGCCGCCGCCGCCCCCCCTCCCCCCGGGCACGTACCACAACGCCTTCCGCGCGTGCGAGGGCCGGCTTTACCTCCTCGGCAGGCAGGAGCTGCGGGCGGTGAGGGTGCAGGGCTGGTCGCAGAGGGTAGAATCGCTCGTGCAGGCCGGTGAGTGGCTGGAGGCCCTCGCCGTGGCGCTTGACCACTTTGAGCAGAAGATCCTCCCGGCGGAAAACGCCGCCGCCGCCGCCGCCGCCGCGGCAACGCAGGGAGAGGGAGGGGGGGAGGGGTCCGGCGCTTCCGCCCACCGCGCGGACGGGGCTACGGGGGGCCCGTTGCATCGCAGCGGCAGCAGCAGAGATATCAGGGGGGTTGCGGGACGGATGGCAGCGAACTTTGGGGGGGAGATGTTGAAGAGCAGCAGCAGCCACGGGGGTGGGCTGTGGCCAGGGGCGGCGGGTGGTGGAGCTCAGCAGCGAAGGCCGACCCCGAGGTCAGAGGCGGCGGAACACATTAGCGACCTCCTGGCACAGTACCTTCGACTGGCAATGAACAACGCCCCCGGCGCGGACTCGTCGTCCCTGCATTCGACGGCGGCGGCCGCGGGCAAGGGAGGGGGCGGTGGGGGGGCGGGGTCCCCCGGCGGGCCGCGGATAAACTTGGCGCACAGCCACTTCCAGATGCTCGCCGGGGTGTGCGCGGAGTTTTGCGCCGTGACCGGGAGGCTGGACATGTTGTTCGGACAGATCTTTCAAGCGTTTCGCGCGCGCGGTCAGCAGGGGTGAGTGATGTGTGTGTGTATGTGTGCATTCTTCTTTTTAGGATAGACCCGGTTATCCGGCTGACCAAGGAAAGGACGTCAGCCTTACGTGCGGTTGACAACACAAAATGCTTCTAAAGGCCACAATCTGGGACCCTGTGACCGAGCGTCATGGGGAGTCGACGCTACTGTCTGGATTTATGACATACCGTAGCAAAAACAGGAGAAACGGCAACGTGAGAGTGTGTGTGTGCGTCATCCTGTTCGCTTGAAACTCGATGGCGGAAGTGTTTTTTAAGGTTTCAGGCCGCGTCTGTGTGCGTCTGGCGCACATTGTGTAGCGTTTGACAGATGCGTGTGGTCCTCTCTCTGCGCGCGTGTGTGTGCGGCGTGTCGGCACGTCGCACGGACGGGTTATTTTCGTTGTGCACGATTGGATGTCAAATGACCCCTCCGCACACTGCAGTCAACCCCGAACAGATACCTACATGTACCATCACGAAAGTTGAAAGAAAGTAGAGCAGTAGACTCAAGCGAGGACCCCCTGCATCGCTTACTTTTCTGGCGAAAATGGCCGAATGTCGCCGAGGGGGCTCCGCCGTATGCGTCAACGTGTTGGTTTGTTTTTTTTTCGCTCCGGTGTTCCCTCCCCGCCCGTGTTCCGATGGATTGTGCGCAAGGGTTTTCATTTTTTTTTGTTCCGCTTCCTTTTTGTCGTGTTGAAAATCTCTCGTCGATCACCCTCGTTGGTGTCCCAGCGTCTTCTTAGACACGCTCGAGCCGTACGTACTCATGGGCAAGCTCAAGACACTGTCGCCAGAGGTCATTAGCGCGTTCATCGACAGGTGTCAGGTGCGCTTTGTTGTTGGTGGTGGTGGTGCTGCACAGCACGGAGGTTGTCCCACACGCGCAGAAGAGTGGGCTTTACTTTTTTTGCGAGCGGGTAGTAGCGCGTGGGCAGTCTTGTCTCGCGTTCAACCCTTCGCTAGAGGGTGTTTATTGCCGCCGCAGCCTTATCCCCGTAGCCGATGGCGAACCCGTTCCGTGGGTCTGTTTGACAAAATGCCGCGCGGTATGGGAGAGAAGACACGTGGCATTCACCGTGGGTGTTAGGACGTTTGGTGGTAAGGGATATCTCATGGTACTGCTTTTTTTTTTTTTTTTTTTTTTT